TTGGGGGAGGGGAGGGATTGGTGGCCGTTGCCTATTGATGTGTATTTGAGGGTTAGACATAGATTGCCTGAGCTGTGCTGGTTGGGGCGGTGGAATAGGAAGGTGGAGGAGTGGTTGGAATGGGGTGTTATACTGGTTTTGCTGGGGTTGGTGAGGGGCATGGGATGGGTAGTAGGTGTCAGGGCTGTGGAGAAGGAGAGGACGCCAGTGGCATTGTGGGAAGAGTACCAGCAAAAGGGACGTAGGAGTTGAGGCACGGGCTTGGAAGGCGTCTTGAACTAGTGTAAACATGTTTTGAAATCTGGATATGTCCTACCAACGCCGCTCCAGTCGTGTGTGAAGTATGCAGGCCATAACGCTCCGTACTCGTATCCATACCCATCCGTACCTGACGTCTCTTTCTTAACCAAAACGACCATATTCCAAGTCTTCCTCTCCACTCCACATCTCTAGATGAGATGCTTGCTCCTGAAGTAGGCGCGGAGGTACACAACCTGCCAAGCCCCCAGTCCGACCAACATACCCATAGTGCCCAGCGCAAACCACTTGACCCGCTCATTGGTGCTCTCATTGGTATCACGCAGCTTCTGCTCCCGGCTCCTCAGGTAATCCATCTCGGTGACAATCTCGCCAACCGTCTCCTCGATCCGCCTGAGTTCCGCTTCTACAGGCTTCAGCTTGTCGACGGCTTGGATGGCGTTCCAGTCCTTGGCGTCGGCGCCAATGTCAATGTCGAGCTCAACGTGGCGGGGTGCGATGTTCTTGGACGAGCCGGACGAGGTGAAGATGTTCTCGAAACATACGTCGAAGGCTGAGTCGGCGTGCGAGGTGAAGGCGTAGCGGTTCTCGCCCACTACGTCTTTGGGTCGGTGGTAGTCGTTGCCCATTGCGTCGCGGATCTGTTTGTTATTGTCAGTAAGGTCTCCAGGCAGTATAATGCTCGCATGATGCTGGTTTGTTGATATGGCGCTGGAATTGCAACGTACATGCATATCCACTCTCTGTCCATCTCCGCGGTATCCATCCAGAATCGCCGTGACAACCACCAACTGGTCTTTGGCAACAAAGTTCCTAACGCATCGCTCGTACTTGGCCGAGTCGTGTGGTGCGACGGGGTGGAGGTCGAATTTCAGGGCCGCGGCGAGGGGGAGGATTGCCAGCAGCACGCAGCTGAGAAGACGTGCTAACCGGTCCATGCTGGATGGGGGATGTGTGGAGAGCTGCAGCGCTTGCGGACTCGAGTTGTTGCCCTCTTGGTGGCTCCGCGAAATGTACAGCTGTCGCAAGACCGCGCGGAAGGACAGATGGTCCGACTGTAAGCTAGCGCCGAGTGGGGAAGGCGCGTGCGGACCCTGAACCAGAACAGCTGGAGCGACTGGGAGGAGCGTCTTGCCATCACTCTTCCAGCTTCAATATGTTGAGACGACCACGATTCGTACTAACTTGACAGAAGTCTGATGATACAATTTTGGAAAGCTTAACAAAACTAGACTATCTCGTAACGGCGTTAACCCATACCAACGCCAACCTGTCGCTGAGAACGCTCAAAAGACATATCCTACAGTACGACAACAGCCTTCTCACCAAGCGGTAGTACCGCCGTCCAACTTCAGATCATGCCCAGTCATGTAGCTGCTCGCCTTGCTCAACATGAACAGTCCCGCAGCCTTGTACTCTTCAGGAGTGCTGAGCCTGCCCAACATGCTGTTGTTCTCCCATTCCTCGCGGCTGGCCTCGCCCTTGTCGAAGTTGGCTGCAGAGGTAGAGGTACGAAGTCAGTATATGTCTCACATGCACTTCGTACAGTCAGAACTTACCTTGCACCATCGGCGTGACGATATGACCTGGGCTCAAAGAGTTCACTCGGATACCCCCTGAACCATCTGGATTCTTTCGCCCCCACTCCATGGCCAAGTTCCGTGCCAGCTGCACCACGGCCGCCTTGGACGAGTTGTAAACGGGCGCGATGAAGCCTCGGTTGGCAATGGTGCCACTCATGCTTGCGACCAGGCAGATCGAGCCCTGAATCTTGTATTCCATCATCTGACGGGCGCATTCTCGAGCTGCTAGGAACACGCCGGTATAGTTGACGTCGAGCATCTTTGCGATGTCTTCCTTCTTGAAGTCGATCGCGGGTGTGACTTGCTGGATGCCGGCAGCTGGAGAAGGGATGGTTAGCATTGGAGTTCCGAAGTATTTGAAGAATTCCGTACCTGCAATGAGGCCGTCAAGCCTTTGGTGTTCCGAGGCAATGTCGCCAATGCACTTTCGCATCGCCTGCTCGTCTGTAACGTCCACCCTATGGTACTGCAGACCTGCACCGATGTTGCTCTTGAGACGGCCCTGAGCCTCTTGGAATGCTTGAGGGGGCTCTGGTAACCGGTCGAGACAATGCACCTTGCCACCAGCCTCTACGAGCCCTTCGGCCATGCATAGTCCCAATCCACGACCTCCACCTGTTGATACGTTAACACGGGTTACAAAGGCATATTGTCTGCTCTGGAGATGGGAGGAGGACGGCATGCTGCACCTGTAACCACGAACACTTTTCCGTCGAGGTCGAATTGGCTGAACCGCTTCTCTCCAACAGTTTCATGTTTTTCGTATGGAACTTGGGGATAGGTTGCGTCTTGGTGTGAAGCGAGACCTCGACGCTGAAGAGGGGTCGTGCAAGGCTGAAGTCGGAATGCAGGTGGCGCTGGGCGCGCGAAACGTCGAAGCAACATTCTCGAGGACCGGAAAGCTGCCATAACTGATGTTGTATATTCGCAGACTGATAGTCGAAAGTAGGAAGACAAGACGAGAGGAAACACAATGTTGAGCGACAAACCAGGGCGCTCCTGTGCTGACATGTATATGTCACACAGGCATGATGTAATTGCAGCTCATACGCGTACCTCCCCTTCCTTCACCTTGGCTGACCGACAAAGCATCGTGACTTCCGCGGCGACCCAGCCGCACGATTCGTTGAGACCCTAGATGAACGCCGCTACAAATGAGCAGGGCAAAAGCTTGATACTAGGCGCGTGACGGAAACACGGCATAAGATTTAGTAACGATTAGCTTACTGGGCCTGCCACACAGACGTACGAGCATCAATCTCACGATGTTGGCACCTGCAGGCACGGCTGGCCTGCGTGGTCTGAGTGGGTCGCGCCTGTTCCCAACCGGTATCCGGAATGCGGGGCTGTGGAGACACAGGGCTGGGTGGTAGCTGTGGTGATTGGTCGCGGATAGTGTCGCCAACACGCCAGAGGTACATCATTCTGAGCGAACATGGGAATTTTGTGCCTTGATGCGTTATCTAAGATGGAGAAGTTTTCATTTTCCCATGATAAGAGCCTGACTGCGCAGCATGCACGGCCGTGGTAGTGGTCGCAGTGGAGAAAATACTCCACTTTGCCATGGGATTCACGTCAGGCTTTCGCAGCGGTCCTTGCATTGCAGGATTCACTTTTCACGATAGAATGTCCTGGACAGCTCGAGAAGCGATCACATCGTGATTTGGTTGACCGGGCTTACTCAGTTGAGAAGCACACGTACTTGCGCAATGCAACACAGCGCGCTACACAAATCATACCGTTGGTATCTAAGCAGGCTGGACCTGAAGCTACGGGTTGCTAGATACATGAGTATGACGGTGTAATCATGAATGGTTGGAGGCAAAACGCGCCATTTCTGCGCAATCCGCAAAGCTCTTAATTAAACGTTGCAATGTTCCTAGGCAGTGATAAAGCTTTCAACTATGAGTCATGAACGCTTTCTGCATCCATTATATGCGGCGTATGTGCAAATACTCATTGCATCTATTCTGGCAGATTAGTGTTTGCGGACCAAGTGACAATTCCAAGAACTTCTCCAGTCGAGATGGCTTCTCTCGTTACACCCATCTTTTTGCCGCTTGTCTTATGGTCAATAACACTGTGTGATTCTACACACTCTGATGTTTTGTCTGAGCAAATTTCCATTTTTTGGAGGGATGAGAACCTCTTTGGATCTTAGGAGGCCGATCAAATGCCACGGAACCTGAATCGATGCTCATGATACTGTACATGCTTTTACGGCGCACAGTTGGTCTTGAAATTGTAAACTTTTTCGCATGCTGTGCTTCAGTGTTGCACTTTCTTATGATTTCATATTGCTGCTACCCCATGACTGTTCTCAAGTGCGATCACTAAATTGACAACGCAGGCTCTGGACATTGAGATCATGAATGCGGTGTTGAGGCTTTACATCGAGTGCATCGGAAAGTTTCTTGGGGTCCTAAGTGTGTCGAGCAAAAACGAGTCGCGGTGGAAACATGAAAATGCAATATCCAATATTCTTGGGTCAAATCCGAGGGGCAAGATAGTGAGACTAGTGGACTAAGGTGGGGTAGATGCAACATGTCTCGCTTGGGAACGCTAATGCCCCAATTTTCGACGCGGCCCCTTTATTGCAAAACCCGCTATATAATCGCACCAAAATCACAGCCTTTCATCAATCATCTCTTCAAGAGATCCATCGGCCTGATGGTCTAGTGGTATGATTCCTGCTTTGGGAAATCACGTGATTGTGATAAGCCTATTCTGCAGGAGGCCCCGGGTGTAAGTTCACCCATTAAGAATCGAATCCGAACGCAAACTAATAGCGTCTAGTCGAATCCCGGTCAGGCCCCAACTTCTTTTTTTGCAGCATTCTACGCATGAGGAGATCAGGTATGAGTTGCGTGTGTGACTCACATCTTTCTGTTTCATTTTATTTTATTTTTTGATTTTTTAATTGCGCTGGTCTGGGGACGCCAAATGGAGCGGCTGAGCAACACGTTATATTATCGCAACGCAAACACACTGTAATAACTGTACGCAGCTGTATACCTTTATTCTTCGCGGATTCAATATTAACTAAGAAAGGATTAAGGAAAGCACACATACGAGTGGGTTGCATGTGACGTTTGATCGCTGTGGCTATTGTCGCAGCCTGACTGCCGCGCAGAAGAGCAATAAGCTCACGAAGTTACTTTACCAATACCTACTTGTCATCGCCTTCAACCCCTCATCTCCAAATTCGCGAATACCCCTCTCCTCCACCCGCGTCCTCGTCCGAAACGTCTTCTCAGTCTCTCCAGTCTTCAGATTCACCCCCTCGTGTTCGTACTGCTCTCTCTTCAACAGACAGCCCTCTATCGCCCACTTCGGCACCGCTTCCTCAAACCTAACACCTTTCTCCTCTAGCATCATACCAACAAGATCCTTCGTCTTCTTCCCATTCATCTCCTTGGTCGAATACATAGTCCTCGCAAAAGCGGAAACAGAATTCCTCACAGCATCATTGCGACAGCGCCAAATAAGGTTATTAAGCGCCTCTGCTATGTCAGGCACAGGAAAGAGCCTTGCATCGAAATGCGCCGTTCCCAACACTTCTTCCACATCGCCCTTGACCTCTGGCTCAGGCATGGTCTTCAGAGCATCAGTGAGATGCTTGTTGAATCTCACGGAGCAGTAGCTAGCGCTTAGACTGCATAGCTTCTGTACTCGCTCGTTGAAACTTTGCACGCCTTCTGGGAAGACTAGGGTGATTTCGTCGGATTGCGTGTATGCGACTGTGGCTCGGGGGAAGAAATGGAGGAGATCGGTGCACGTTGATATCATGGCGCTGTGTATGCGCTCGTCGAACGGGCGCGCGAAATGCGAGGTGAAGCGTGAGAAGCCGTGACCGTCCAGGCGGAGGATGATGGGCTTGTCGAGAGGAAGGGTGTGGTCGAATTGTGCTTCGTACGATTTCATGCGCGCTGCAAGTGATAGAGATTTATGGGTGCGCGGTGCTGGTATTTCGACATCGCCGTGGTTTGACATGGTATTGGAGTTAGTATCGTAAATCTTGCAGGTCGGTTGAAGGTGTTGGCTGTCAAGAGGTAAGACAACACCTGCCTTCACCCTAATGTCAACGATGACTCATCAGCCTCACGTGTTTTCACTTCAGTTGCTGGATCAGGGTCGTTATGGTGGTCGCGTCGCGATGAAGGACGGATTGGAGGGTATTTCTGAAGCAGCATTATCCTCCATAGTATTATTATGTACATCATAAAAGCTTCATGCTCAGCCATTCCAATAATGATTCCTAACTTAAGGCAAGCACGAAAGGATCGGCTTGAGCTTGTTGATGATCTCAGTCTGAACCGCAGCATCATTCATAGTCGTCTTGTCGTTTGCATCGCCAGGGCTGATGGTAACGTAGCAGTCGCTTCCACGGATCAAGATGACGTCCGCCTCCCACGGCAGGCGCGTGCTACCGCACCACTCGGCATCGCGAGCACTCAGAAGACCAGTGTTGATGCGAGTAAAGATGTACTTGAACTGGCTGGGGTCACTGCACTTGGTCTCGGATACAGCGGGGAAGTTGACGTTCAGGAAGGAGTTTGCTGGGAGGTACGGCTTTCCAGAGTTGATGATGGTCGTGGTAACGTTCAAAGCCAGGTCAGCATAGACCTTGCTGTGGAAAGGAGTAGGTGCGTTCCATGCCGTAGGATCTCCTGTCACGCCAGAGAAGGCGATGGCCGGGATCTGAGCCGTCTTTGCCGCGAATGCAGCAGCGCCGACTGTGCCGGAGAAGGGGACCTGAACAGCAACATTGCTGCCGACGTTCGGTCCGGTCAGAGCGAGTTCAGGCTTTGCGCCGTTCCAGAGCTTGGGGGCAGTGACATCGATTCCCTCCTTGATCGAGGTGACCGGGAAAGAGTTGACGTAGTTTAAGCGAGGGTCTGTCGCGTTTGCGCCGGTTGGCGGGCTTCCTCCTGGGCAGGACGCATGAATGCAACCGTCTGAATCAACGGTTTTCGGGGGTGCGTCGGAGGATCCTGATATAAGTCAGCATGTGTATATGGCCATGACTCGACTACCAACCTCTGCCAGACTGGTTCTCGGCGGGACCAGACAGTACGACATCGTGACCAGCAGAGTTCAAGACGTCGAAAAAGGTGCGAAGGTTTGCCTCTGACCAGCCGTCATCGTTTGACTGAACGATGCGAACGGCTTGGGCGAAAGGAACTGCCGCAGCGAGTAGTAGGAAGGATCGCATCTTGAATAACGAATGGAAGATGATGAAGCGAATGTGTTTGACGGAGCGACCTGAGACCTATGCAAGTAAACAGCGCGCACCTGACGTTTATAACAACACCCTCCTCCCGATCTATCCTTACGCCAGCCACAGAGTCCCCAGTCTTGATCCACCGCTAATGTTCCAAGCATTATGCGAGCCGAACGGGCGAACAGAGGTCAGGAACACAGCCATGGCACACGCCGCAGTCTAGTCACAACGTGCGGGTAGCAGCGATCTGATTGCTCGTCGCATAAATGACCATGGTCGTGACATGCTGCAAACGTCGGCTTTGGAGCTGTGAGTGGTTGTTGACCTCCGAAACGGAGACATTTCCAAGCCTTTGGGGGTGTCGCCCCTAGCGCCTCGGCTGCAGCCACTCAAATGGGCAGGAGCGTCCGGTAGTCTTTCGCACGTGTGAGGAGCTCAAGGTGTCATTCACGGATTTTGATATGCAAGTAGTTTGGTTCATGATCTTTCATATATCCGTCTATCGATTTTCAGGAAACCGTTCCTCACACTGACCATATGGGATGTCATCCCGCGCATGTATTCAAACGGCCCGTTCCTCGAAGAACTATGCTTCCATTATTCAATACTGAATCGTTCGGACCGCTGCGCATGAAGGTTCATGCGGCATGTCGACATGTGAAAGTATCCGGAACCCGTGGTATCAATGTCTCCTATTTGCCAGAACGCCTTATCCAAATGCTCTATATTTCTCTGCACTTCGCCAGATCCTTAAGATCTCCATCTCTCGCTCATACGATATGAGCAGGCTTCACCGGCTGCTGGTAGTAGTCCGTCGCAGCACCGCTCTGATATGGCGGAAGATACTGGTTGTTCATCTCAGCAGGTTGCGTCTGCGAGTGGTATGCGGTATTTTGGTATTCGGGTGCGCTGTTGTACGGAGATGATTGCTGAGCAGGTACGGAACCCCCGAATGGGTTGTGCGCCGGTGCGTACTGGCCTCGTTTGGCCTCTGCCTTCGCGCGACGATAACCGATGACCGAGTAGATGAAGAGACCGAAGTAGCTGAGGCTGCGATGTGTCAGTGCTGCAAACGACCCCATGGAACTCTGAACGTACAATACGAAGACACCGAATCCAAGCCCTACATGGCTACCGCCCTTGCCGATATCCGCAAACTCCATGATCAAGGCGACGCCCCAGAACGCAGTCTGGAACGAGTTCATGGTGAGGAAAGTGCCGGGTTTCAGCGCATCGCGAAGGAAAAGCAGGATGGCGAGAATGTCGATGAGGAGTACTATACAGCTGAAGAGTATAATGACAATGAGCAATCTACTGGCTGTAAGCTTTGTGTATGCGCCGTTGATGGTGTGATTTACGAGACTGAGGGTTGGATAACGTCTTCCAGTTCTTTCACGTTGCTCAGCGAAATGCCTACTGCTCCAATGATCAAGAGCATGATACATATGCGCACTATCCAGAAGGGGACGAGAACGCGCTTCTGCCAAAATACCGGTCGTTGCGCCATGGTGAATCGGTGCCGCTGGAGGTTATCGCTGCTTGTCGGTGGCTAGGTGCGATGTTTGCGCAACAAAAAGAGGAAACCAGGATATAAATCTCAGTTTGCAGGGCTGAGCGCGAGATACACCGATATTTCGGGAACTCGCGTTGACTGGGCTGTGATGCGTACGCTCAGGGGAACGCCTTGCGGCGCCGTGATGAAACACGCGTTCGGCCCTGTACATCTTCATCTCCCTCTTTTAGCAGCCGCGCCGTTTGGGGCCGGTGTTGCAGCATGGCCTCTATGCGTAGGTGGTGATAGATGCGTTGGATGCGCGTTAAAAGTGTTTAAATTGGTGCGATATAATGTTATTCGCTGTCCTGATGAAGAAGCAAAACGGCTGTCACGAGTTTCAGGGTCTGTGGAGATGGGCCGTTAGGCGATGCTCGTAGCCTCGTACGCGGTAATAGCGCGGTGGTCGCAGCGTCGTGGCTGAGGCAGTCAGGCAACGATAGACTCCAGCACCCGATCAACAGTCGTGAGTAACGTGCATCTGCATGCTGAGTTGTGCACGAGTCGGCCTGTCTCGCATGTAAGCATCATGCTTCGATGCACGTCGATCGAATGTGGAAGGTATGGAGGCGGGCACTTTCCGCGCCAGCCATCTGATCGGAGTGGGGCTGCCACGAGACCCATGCACGCGTTGCTCCCGCCCGATAAGCGCGATAACGAGCGACACCTTGATGGGCAGCCAGAGCTTCCCCAGATTACAACACATAGCTATCTCTTGATCGAGAGCTGTACGATAGTCCGCAAGTTCTGTCCCCATCTTCATCATGGGTAACAACCAGTCACGACCGTCCGATGCTGCTGTTAATGAGAAGTTGATGGAGCGACTCCAGGCACTCCACATGAAGGATGAACGACCCATGAACGAGAAGGATGGATTTGTCGTTGTTGGCGGAGAGGCTCGTACGTTGCATGGCGTTGAGAATGGTATACCAAGTCTAACTGTCAAAGCACCTCGATACACCCCCGGCGTCAAGTACCGACAAGATGTATCTGCCGCCTCAGTGTCAGAGTGGGAGAAGGAGCTCATGGAAGACCCAAAGGTACTACACACAGCTCTTGTACCGTCTCTTACTTACCTCTGTAGAACCGCCTCGCTCTCGCAGCTCTTAGCTCCAACTCTGCCAACGCCGTACTTTCATCCCGATCCGCTGTCATCGCAGACACCCAGAAGTTCAACATCAAGATCCCCTTCGAGGGCTCGCCTGTCACAAACCAAGCCTCATCTGGAAGATGCTGGCTCTTCGCTTCCACCAACGTCTTCCGCGTCGCTATCATGAAGAAGTACAAGTTGTCCGAGTTCCAGCTATCGCAGGCATACCTCTTCTACTGGGACAAGATTGAGAAGGCAAACTACTTCCTCGAAAGCATACTGGATACAAAGAGTGAGGAGATTGACAGCCGCATCGTGCAGGCGCTGATGTCCAGCCCTGTCGGTGACGGCGGACAGTGGGATATGGTGGCCAACCTCGTGCAGAAGTACGGTCTGGTACCGCACTCGCTGTACCCAGACTCGTTCAACGCGTCCAACTCGTCCACCATGGACCGTCTGATCACCACCAAGTTGCGGGAGGATGCCGTCCGTCTACGTGCCATCGCATCCAGCAACGCATCGCCAGACGCGATCAAGGCGACTATTGCCGAAGAGAAGGAGAAGATGCTGCGCGAAATTCACCTGATCCTAACACTGATGCTAGGACCTCCCCCGTGCTCTACCAAGCCGTTCACCTGGGAGTACTATGACAAGGACGGCAACTTCTGCACCGTCAAGACGCGACCCACCGCCTTTGCGAAAGAACTCTCCGACAACAAGACCGTCCGCGCGCTGTCTGGAACGGACGTGCACTCGCTCTTCTCGCTTGTAAACGACCCGCGCAACCCTTACAACCGTCTGCTCAGCGTGAAGCGACTCGGTAACGTCTGGAACGGCCGACCAGTGACGTATGTGAATGTCGACATGAAGACCATCAAAGATGCTTGCATTGCGATGCTGAAGAAAGGCATGCCCGTCTTCTTTGGTTCGGATGTAGGCAAGTACTCCGATTCCACCAAGGGAATTATGGACACCGATCTCTTCGAGTACGAGCTGGGCTTCAATATCAAGCTCGGCATGTCCAAGGCGGAGCGTCTGCAGACCGGTGAGAGCCAGATGACGCATGCTATGGTGCTGACGGCTGTACATGTTGTTGATGGCAAGCCCGTGCGCTGGAGGGTGGAGAACTCGTGGAGTGAGCGTGCAGGTGACAAGGGCTACTTTGTCATGAGCGATGCTTGGATGGATGAGTTTGTGTACCAGGCCGTCGTCGATCCCAGCGTTGTCAGCTCGACGATTAAGAAGGTGCTCGAGCAGAAGCCGAAGATGCTGGAGCTGTGGGACCCGATGGGCGCGTTGGCGTGAGTGTGATGTAGATTTGATGATACCTTTGATGAATTGATTGTTGCTGTGAGAGAAGCCAATAGATACAAGATTGGATGTGAATTTGGCGAGAAATGAAGTGCGCGTCTTTCGTTGATCATAGGGTGCGCAGTGCGGGTAGACAAGTGTCGTAGCAATTTTAGGTGGGGACTTCACCAACGAGGTTTGCATGACTTTCAACCTAAGAGTGGCTAACCACTTCGTTTCTAATCGGTAAAAGTTTAGCAGGGTCTTAAGACTGCCTTCATGCGGGCAGCAACAGCTCCGTCTCATCATCATCACATCCATTGCTTTCCTTGCAATCCCGCATCACCTCCCATAGCAAGCCTGCCTGTACACCTGCGAACATCACATAACCAACGGCAGTCCAGCCCGCATAACGATACCATCCATTCCACCACCCCAAAAACCCATTGTACCACTCCCACCGCGAAGGCATCTCGACGCTTAACCCCCAGGCCACACCCACCCCAGTAAATACCACCGCCTGCATCGCAAGCCCCAAACGGCTCAGCGCCTCCTCCTTCGCCTCGTCCCGATCCTCCTCCTCTTCTTCTTCATTCTTTTTGGCACGAATCGCTCTCGCCTGCCAGAAAAACGACGCGATAACCAAACCGATGACAATCCAATTGATGCAGAGGATGTGCGCGCCATACCATGCCCAGGCGAACATGATGTGGTAAAACCAGTGTATATCCTTAGCGTAGAAGGCATCGACGAAGATGGGGAAGACTAGTAGGAAGAAATACGTTGCATAGGCTGTTATGGCGGAGCTTGTTGAGACGTCGCGGTAGGGGGAGGGGTAGTGGAGATGTAGGATTGAACTATTGTAAACGATGAGAGTCAGTGCTTGTGCTGTTTGAGCCGGAGAAATGGAAGGAATGCAACGGGCGCATACATGGTAAGCCAATACAGCAGTACAACAACGGTTTGTGTTAGATCGATCCAATTCCCTACGGTTACGGGTTCGCGGTGAAAACCTTTGTCTTCTCGAATGGAATCTACAATGTAGAAGAACGTGAAGGCGAATTGTTCGGTTGCTGAGACGAGGTTGAATAGCAGGTAGTTTGTCGACATGCCTGAACTTTTCTGTCTGAAGATGGTACGGTGGAGTTGTGGTATGAAGGACGCCACGGTGAGAGCCAAGAAGACACTAGATGGCGTTAGTCTGATGAACAGAGTGTCATGGAATCAAACAAACATGCGAAGCCAGACTGGTGAGTCTAAAACCGGCATCTTGTGAGATTTGAAAGAGATTTCTAGTCTTGCAGTAGTATGGCGACTTGTGAATGTCTACCGCAACATATTGAGGAACTAGAGACTCCGGTTTCCAAAAGTTTTCCAACCATCTTGCTTGTATACAAGTACAACGCTGATGCCTAGCACACTTGAGACACCCAGGTATGCAACGCTGATCGCGGGGGCGGCACAGTGCATTAGCGCTGCGCACCCCCTTGCTCACCAGCAAAACCTCCGACCACAGCGCTCAACCCCAATCCTTCTATACCTATATCACACAAACCACGCGATAACTACAGCCATGCCACGGCCCATCTACCTCATCGTCTTCAACTCCCCTCTCTTCCCCGCGCACTGGGGCTTCTGGATCCCGCACCTTTCGTCCACCGACCCTCAAACCGGAACGTATCTCAACGCAACCGGCGATGCAGCATCTGGCTTTGATATTGAGTTCGAACGTAACCACGAACTGGGTGCTGATGGAAGGCGGCACCAACTCATCTCTTTGGGGGAAGTTGCGGACGAGCATGTTGTCGATATAATGGGTGGCGGGAAGTGGTCTGTTGATCAAGTTGCGAGAGATAGGCTTGAGGAGATCGTGTTGAGTGTAAAGCCGCCGGGGCCAAGTTTGGTTGCTGCGGATAGTACGGTGAGTTTTGTGCTGTCGAACTTCGATGTTGAGAGGCTGATTGACTGAATGTGGTAGGTACCAAGAAAGAAGGTAGAGATAAGGAACTGTCAGACTTGGATACGCGATGCGGTTGCGGCGTTAGTGGAAGCCAAAATCATGGACGAAGAGGCTTTGCGAATAGTAGAGAACGCGCCGAAAAACTGAGGGAGAAAAGTCGTAGCGATTCTTTTCTACGCCTTGTTCTACTTCGACTTCCACTTCTGCCCATACTCGCCTCTCACCAAGAGCCTTTTCTCCTGATACGACCAGAGTGAGACGCATATTCTACACTCCTCTCCATCAACCTACCAAATCTTCGGCACAAACATCGGCGTCTCCCTCTTCCACTTCTGATAATCCTTGCGATCCCCATACCTCTTATCATACTTATTCTCACTCAACGGCACCCCACTAACCTTCAGCAGCAAGAAAGACACAAAAGCCGGACTAGCCGCACACATACCAGCAACAAGCACCTGTCCACCAACGCCCCCACTTAATCCCAAAGCAGCCTGCGCAGGCTGCCTAACCAGCAACCCCGCCGCCGCAATCGCAATACCACTCCACAACGTCGCCTCGCCAAAGTAATTCGGATGCCGAGATTTACTCCACAGGCCATGTGTGAGGAACTCTTCAGAGTGTTTCTTTTGCTTTTTGCCTTGGACCCAGGTGTCCTTTTGTCTATCAGCCACAACCTCAAACGTAAGACCGAAGACGAAGATGGCGAGGCCGAGGATGTCTGTTAAGTATGGTTTTGAAGATACGGCTTGACCGAGGAGTGAGGTTGCGTAGGCGGAGCGTGGAACGGAGTTTACTAGAATGACGGGTAAGGTGCAGAGGGAGACCCATGTTGCTTGGGCGAAGAAGGCGACGAGGAACTTGGGCGGGGAGGTCCGGATGGAGTCGAAACGGGAATCTTTTCCTTCGTCGCTGGATATGCGTTTGTAGAGATAAGAACCCACTGTTTCATCAGCATTAGCACCTCAACTCTCTTTCAACCCAGCCATTTCGGACGGAACGTACATCTCGTAGCCCAAATCCCCACGGCAGCGCTCAAAAGCGCCTGTCTCCACCACCACGTGCCCTGTCCCAAGCCCTGGGCGCTGAAATACTCGGTTATACCGCCGGTGATGGTGCCTGCGGCTCTTGCGCGCATGTATGGGAGTACTAGGCTGAGGGCTGTGCAGGACAGGTATGTGAAGCTGCCGGAGAGGTCATAGTACCGTTCCGTTTGTGCTGCGATGGAGGGAACAGCGACGGCAGCTTGAATGCCGTACGCAAGCGCAACAGAGGGAACAAGGGTACGTAGAAGAGGATTCTTGAACGCTGTTGCGCGGAGGAGGGTTTGCAAGAGCGTCATGTTGTTGCAAAGCTTCGAAATCAGAAATGCGGTTGAGGAAACTTCGGCGCACCCCAACATATACCCTTCAATCGGAAGACGGAGGATCTTCAGGTACTCTTTATGCACCTCGCTGTTCTACCCAACAAACACAATCATCGGCGGTTCATCCGGCGCATGCCGTTGTTGCAAAGCGCCTGGCGATCTAGACTCGCAGTCAGGATCGATGCCGTCATTCCTCGCTTACCTCCACTTGCGACTGGGGTCCAGCGGTAAGCTTCCGGATAGCGCGCAGGGCTCGGTGCGTTCGGACGCCGGCGGGCTTCGCATTCAGGATACGAGATCTTGCTTACGTGCATAAGGATGCGTGTTGACGTACTGCATTGTAGTCTAGAATGTATGCAGGTTTAACATTTGCAAAGAATACGTGGAGTATGATGGATGGTGAGGAAGCCCACGGGCATAACGATACATTTCGCAATCACTCGCTCCGCACCAGAACACCATGCAAGCCGCGTACCTAGCCCAGCACCCAGCCATACAACCCCAAACACCAGCTCAACCATCATAGACGCGTCAATGCAAAACACACCAATACAGAAATCCTAGTAACACAACAACAAACACCAGCAACACAGCGATACAATTGACACTACACGACAAACCCGAGAAGATGCCGACTCCCACTCTTCCGAAGACTCTATCTCCTGAACGCGGCTTCGACCTCCTTAGTACCCCAATCAATCTCCACCTCCCCACTATATACATCTTGGTTGATAGTCGTCATGCGCTCTGATACCTTGTTGTATGTCTTCTCGCATTCCTTGAGGACCTTGAAGACGAGGTCGCGGCTGATAGTCGGGTCATCGGCGTCGCCAAAGTGCTTGTCGACGCGCTTCTTGAGGGCTTCAATACCTTTGCGAAGTTCTTTAGCGTCGTGAGAGTGAACTAGTTTCTTGAAGACTGAGCGCGAATGGGAGGAGCGTTGGGCGATGGCTTGGGCGCTTGCGCCGGGTTGGGAGAGAAGGGTTTCGGTTGATTCGATGAATTCCTGGATCATGTTAGATTTAGTGGTATAAGATGAGGATGTTTACTTACCAGAAGCTTGCCCAGTGGCCTCCGGATGACGGCGTCGACATACAGACTCATGTGCTCGCTGTATTCGTCTTGAGCCTTACCCTTCCAGAATTCCAGAACGTTGACCGAGCGGGCATCAACCTCTTCCATGTAGTGGTTCATGTTCTCAATAAGCAGAATGTGGTAGTTGAGCGCCTCCTTATCTTCGGGATCGCCCTGTCCTTGGGAAGCCATGACGGTGGGCGACTCCTTGGCAATGACCTTCAAGCTCTCGAACATAGCCTTGTTGATTCTTTGGTAGGCTTCGTCGACCATGTCGCGGATTTCCAACTTGTCTCCGCCTTCTGAAGCAGGCGGCAACATGTTCTCAATCGCCACAGAGAAGTGTGGGAAAGTCTTCATAAACGAGATTACTCCTTTGCGCTTCTTAATCTTGACCTTCGTATCTTCAATGGCCCGTATCTGCTCGTCCAAGAAGCGGCTGAACAGCCCTTGCAAACGTTCGTGTATCTTTCGCAGGTTCCTTGTCAAGAAGTCCTGGTCCGTCTCTGCGATATCGAGCAACTTCCGGTCGACAGCACAAAGAATGCCTACACCTTGCCTAAGAAGAGTCAGTAAGCGAGCAATGTATAACAGAAATATGACTTACAGAGGATCAGCTTTGGTAGCCCAGTCCACAAGGCTCTGAATCTCAGAGGGCCAGAAAGAGAAGATCTCCTCCATGACACCAGTGACATGTTTTGCCATGACTCGGTCCGCCTCGAACTGCTTGCGGATCCAGAGGTTGGGTCCACGACGCGCTTCGGGGGGCGCGGCTTGCACGGCCTCGGGGAAGTCAAGCGAGTCAGTTGAAGTAGCATGGAAGAACTCAGTAATGAAGTTCTGCTCCGTCAAAAGAACCGGACCGGTATCTTCTAGGATCCTAGCGAAGACGTTGAATGCGTGGAATTTGCCGTCTTGAGCCGCTGGCTTCGCCTTGCCATCTTTGTCCCCAGACGCTGATCTCAGGCCACGAGCTAGGGTCTGACTTCGCTTAACGGTCAGCTTCCTTGCCGTACCTAATGTGGAGGTAGTTTCCGGCTCTTTCTCCTGCGCGGTAAAGAGCAGTTCTTGCTCCTCGCCAGTGGGCTTTCTTGCGAACCGTCTCCATGCCAGGATATTGTCGCGAACCTCTTGTTGATACACCTGCGCTGCTTGAGTCTGATACATGCGTAGTAGTGAGTCCCATGCTGCCCTGTCAATTTCTTTCGCGAACAGCATGATTGGGCTCAACATCCACAACTCGTTTCGACCTGCGTCATGCGCTTCTACGTTTCTCTTCAGAGATGGCTCAGATCCCTGATCATCGAGTCTCGAAAGTGCATCTTTCGTCGATAGGAAGGCTGCGCCGAACGTGATTTCCATATGTTTCTTGAGCCTCTCGAGGAACATGGATCCCTCATTGAGGTACCTGTCTCGTTTCTCTTGCAGAGCTTGCATCGTTGCCAAATCGCTATTACCAAATCCTGGTCCACTGCTGATCGTGCCCTGTCGAGCTCCGGCGACGAAAGAAGGGTCGATTGTGATGAGTGCCTTGTAAAGCAGAACCAAAGAAAACTCGATATCCTTGAGTCCGTTGATCTTGCCTATAGGAGCGCGTCTCAATGACTCCAGCTGATCTGATGTGATCGAGATAGTGTCGACTAGCTGCTGAAGTTCGTGCTGCAGTAGCCGCTGATTAGCAGTCTGCACTTGCAGACCCTGACTCTGTGCTTCGATGAAAGCGATATCATCGTTCAAGCTGCTCAGTTCAACGTTGTATAGGGTTAGCAGACCCTCAAGCTCGTCGCACTCAGCGATCGCGCGGTCCAACATGCGCTCAACAGCCTCTACACGATCGTCCTTCTGCTCCAGGTGATTTAGCCAGCTCCCAGCCTCCACGCGGGCGATTTCACGTTTGATGTCATTCTCCAGAGACTCGATGTGCTTGGCGGACAGCTCGTTGTTTCCCCATCCCAGCTCAGTCAGCAGGCTCTCGAATTCCAATCCCCGTTCGTCAATGATGTTCGGATCTATACCAAGCTTGGATATGTTGACAATCTGTTGGTTGGACCGGCGCTTCTTTCGGCGCACCTCGGGCTCAGGCTCAATGTTCCTTGATGCTGCTTTTTCTGGAGGTGGCGGAGCAGGCTGTTCTTCAACTTCTTGGACAGCGCCAGCCACATTGCGATCACCTGGGCCAGAGACTGTAACCGACGGAACGACCTCGGTACTAACGCGCAGTCGCTCTTTAGATGACCTGTCAGGTATGGATTTGGGGGGCTCTTCGAGTTTCTGCTCGACTTCTTCTTGAGGGGTTTCTTTTGGTGTTTCTTTTGGTGTTGGTCGCTGGGGCACGAACACTGCGCTGACGCCGTCTGCTTCATCGGTTGTTTTCGTCTCCTTGTTGAAGAGCTTTGCAGCAGCACCGCCAGCACGAGGCTTGAATGCGCCTGCCGCCGCTGCTGCCTTGCGGAACTTGGTCGCCGCATTATCGTTAAGCAGCGGCTTCTTGACCATTGGCCCAAGGCCAGGGCGTTCTTGATCCTCAGGCATTGAATTGGTGCGTTCTAGCGGTTCTGGCTCAGGCGCTGTTGGTGGTGTTGCAGGCGCCGCTACTTCCTCAGCCTGTGGTGCTGCTGGTATTGGCGCAGTCGGAATTTGTGGAAGGGGTGATGTGGGAGGAGGCGTAGGCTGCGGTGGTCGAGAAGGCAGTGGGTCTGCGGGAGGCGCGATGTTTTCCTGAGAAACGGGCTTCAGTCTCTCGGGTATCTCCTGAGGTCGTCTCCGCGGCGGTACTTCCAGTGGTGGAGCTGGCGAGCCTGAAGGCGTATGGAACGTTGAGCGTGGCTCTGCGCCTTGGCTATCGACACTCCGTTGTGACATCTGTGATGGACGGGGCTCCATGAGTGGCCTTCTCCTTTGGGGCGGTTCTTCTGGCGGCATGTCGTCGTTTCGTGTGAAGTTTGAACTGGTGTTGCTCTGAGCCGTACCCGGTCGACCAGCGCTTTGGGCTGTTCCAGGCCTGAGACCCCTGGGCGACGGATCTCTCCTAGGCGAGGGGTACCCGTTCTGTCTGCGTGGATCTGGTGGCGCAATACCTGGAGGCGCGCCGTCCAATAATGGTTCGTCAAGGGATCGTTCTGACCGTTGCGATTGCGCATCCTCACGTGGCGGCCCGCGCCCTGGACTCAAGCTTGCTGGGAAGTTGCCTGAATCCGGTGTCCGTGGCCGACCAGCGAATTCAGAATTTGAAGATTGTGGTGTTAGATTGCGAGACGCGAATTGAGGTGGGATAGGGCTTTGTCCCTGGCCAGGACGAGGCCGCATGCTATCACCGCTAGGCCGAGAACGAATGCTTGGGTCCATTGACCGCTTTTGGCGAAGGTCGGGCATAGATGGCGCGACCGAAACTGAATTTGGCATGAACTGCGGAGGCCTACGGGCGTCATCCCCAGTACTCGGTCTACCCAAATCGTCTGGTCGTCCTGGTCTTCTTGGGGGCCCCCCTAGCTCTCCAGGAGGTCTCCGGAAGTTTGGATTTGCGCCAGGTGGAAGCGCTCTCCCGTCAGATATAGGCGGAGATTCGCCAGGTCTTCTCGGCGGTGGTCCAGGTGACTTTGGAGGCATTGGTCTTTGATCTGGTGGCCCGGGTCGCTTCTGGGACGGACTTTGACCACCCTGACCACTGGCTGCGGCGGCTCGGCCTTCTGGTGTCGCGAGATGCGGCTGCCCGTTGGTCAGACTGTTCAGCTCTGTCACGCTGAATCCTGTCAGGATAGGAAAGTCTCCTTTAGTGTACTTGTTGTAGATCTTAACCATACTTCCAATAAAGAACTCCTTCTCCTTTGCCGTGCCCGCTTCCCAGTAGTAAGGCTTGCCTATGGTCACAGTGAAGCCCTTTTCCCCAGCCCATAGCTTCCGCT